AGGTGCCTAGTAACGTTTGTTGGTTGAACGAATGAAATTACTGGCTTTGCCTAAATGGACCCTTTTGTACTTGTAGAAACCTCTGTCCTTTCTTTTCTCCATACTTGTTCTCCCCGTGGTGTTCTTTGAATCCCTTTGTGCGTTCTGAAGTATAAGAGATGCCTGCAGCTATTCTGCTTCTCATGGAAAAAAAGGAAAGGAAAATGACCATTCATTGTGTCGCCCTACACTATTCCTCTATCAACTTTATAATCCTGGTGTCCTGTGTATTAATTAGGGAGTTGGAGCTCCAAGCCCCAGAAAATGCCAACTCAACTAGTTTGAACAATAAAGGAGCTTATTATATTTCTTATAACAAGACACATAAAGCTAGAGTGGTTCCAGGGATGTAGGCTAAACAGCATCAACAAGAAACCCCTTTCTTTCTTTTTTTCTCTGCCAATCTGAGTATATTAGTTTCTTCTTTGGACTTGGGCTAGCTCACCTCGTGACTACAAAATGGCTGCAGCAAAGCCAGGCATAGCATCCTCATACAACAGTGATTAGAAGGAGAAAGATACCCTCTCTTCTTTGGACCCCTCTTTAAAATGGAGGAAAACTATTGTTAGAAGCTTCTAGAAATTTCCTCTCACAACTCATCGTATCACATGACAGTGCTTGAGTCAGTCACTACCAAGAGAATTAAGATTATCATGATTAGCTTAAACCAATCAGGATCTCCCCTAGAACTTAGGAGGGAGAAGTGTACACACTGGAACAAAACGAAGGTTCTTTCAGCAGGGAAAAAGAGTAAAATAAATATTAGCAAGGAAACCAGCAGTGTCAGCTCCAGCGTTGTTTTATAGAGAGTTGTTTGATACTGAATTTCAGGGAAGCTAAATTTCAAGGTCGCCCAGCTGATAAAAATAGAAGTAGGATTCAAATCCTGCTCTTTCAAACTCCAGAGCCCATCCTTGCCCTTTTTCTGCTGCACAACTAGACCCAGAGAGAGCCTGCGTTTCCCGGAACAGCCAAAGCCCCCTTTCTGATGGTGAGCGCTTCAGGAGTTGAAGCAATCACCCTGCTTTCCCAAGCTCGACCTTCAGCTGGGCATTTAATCTGTTTATTAAGTTATGACTAATGGCGCCGCGAGACACGGAGGGCTGCACACTCAGACCTAGTTTTAGATTGTTAGAGGAGGTTGAAGGGATAAACATCATATTCATATTCTGTGCCGAGAAAATTCAATTGCAGCTCTTTTCTCTTTCAGAGCGCGGGGATTGGCGAGGGGCTTCTGCTGGGTCCTGCTTTGGTTTAATAGAAATGAAGCCTCCAAAGCAGGCGGGCTGTTTTGGGAAAGTGGCCACTAATGCGGCCCCATGGGGCGGGGGCCAGGCCTGAACGGGGCAGTTTGCATATTCACTTTTACAAACAGTTGGCTCAGAGTCAGCAGTTAATGGGATGGGAATGATGTTCCTGTACCAAATCATTTCCTGAAAAAAAAAAACATTTCCAATTGCAAACATATCTCAGCCTTTCTTGTAGGGTTTGTTATGTCTCTGTTGAGTGAATTAAAGAGGCGGGGCAGAGGGGAGTGTTTTGGACTGGGGATTTTTCATCTGAAAACATTTTTATGATGTACACATAAAAAAAGATCCTGTTGAGACCCACCTTGAGGAGTCCTTGCCACAAATAGTACATTTCTAGTTGCATTTTAGAGGTGTAAATATCCCTATATTCATAAATTGGCTCTCGCCATACAACAGTCTTGGAACAGATGTGGCTTTTCTCTCCTTACAAAATATAAGCACACACATATGCACACCCATGTGCACACAGGATCAGGCCAAAATTTTATATATATATATGTGTGTGTGTGTGTGTGTGTGTGTGTGTATATACACACACACACACACACACACACACACACACACACACACTCTTTTTTCCCCCCCTGAGAATAAGCTGGAATCTTTCTTTGCATCCTGTATACTAATTTGGCAAATTCTGGCTCAATTCATAACCTGTGCAGTTGAACGGTGGTCTTAACAGTTTTGGTTATTCGTTTACTCAACTAATAGTTCTTGAGGGCTTACTCTGCATGAGGTATTGTCTTAAGTAATAATAATAATTATAGCATAATAGCATGCATTTATGCAGTTCTTACCAGGTACCAGGCACGCTTCTAAATGCTTAATGTAAACCCATTTAACCTTCTCAACAACCCTAGGAGGTAGGTAATATTATCACCCCCAATTTGCAGATGGGGAAACTGAGGTACAGGAGGTTAATGAACTTGCCCAAGGTCACATAGCTAGTAGAACATGGATTTCAGCCTAGGCACTCTGGCTCCTATTTGGGGATCTAACAGTGAACAAAAGAGAAAAAGTGCTAGTCTTTTCTCTAGGTGGGGGACAGACAACAGACATATGAATAATTATTATTTAAGATTGTGATGAGTCCTCTGAAGAAAATAAAACATGAGAGGGAGGCTAGGGGCTAATCAGAGGGCCTTGCAAGTGTTAGTAAGGAGTCGGAGCCTTATTCTGAGTATGATGAGAGGCCAAGGGAGGGCTTAAAGCAGAAGAATGTATCATGCTATTTACATCTTTATAGACCATTCTGACTATGCTCTGGGAAGTAGACAGGGGTGCGGAAAATGCATCAGAAAGCAGTAGACCACTTAGAAGGTGGCTCTGGTTGTCTAGGTGAAAGCTGAGGGTGGCCTGAACCAGGATGGGGTGGTGTAGATGATGAAAAGTGGGTGGCATTGGATCCTAGTGTAGAGGTGGAGCCCACGAAACTTGCCAATGCATTCGATGCAAAGCATGAGGAAGGAAGAGAAGTTAAGGGTGATTTGTTTGGATTTTGGCGTAAACCGTTGTATAAGTGGCGGTGCCATTTACTGAAGAAGAGAAGAACAGGGGAGTGACAGTCTTGTTTTAGGGTTGTTACGGTGGAGGTGAGAGTGTTGACAATCATTATGTTTGGGATATATACGCTTGAGACCTATTAATAGACAAAAGAGGAGACATCAAGTAAGTCTGGAATTCAGGGTCAGGCCCATTCTAGAGATTTAAATGTGGACATCATCAGCATTTGGGGTCAACTAAGATAACACCATCCAATTGAATCTCCTATAATGATGAAAAGCTACATCTGTGGTGTCCAGCCTGGCAGTGGCCACTAGCCTGCCATACGTGGGCCATTGAGTGCTTGCAATGTGATAGGTACAACTAAGAAACTGAAGTTTTAACTCAGGTAAATGTGTATATTTGCATGTGGTTGGTAGCTACCATTGACAGTACAGACCTTAGGGAGAATGTAGGTAGAGAGGCCCGGGGCAGGAGCTGTTGTCTTCACCGGCCAGTATGCCCAGTCTCGCTCCCCCATTTAAGCATGACTCGACTTCCACTGCCCAATGCTTGCACAGCAGTGCTTGTTCAGTAGTGGAAATCTTGCTTCTTTGTGAGAAACAGCCTGGAAAAGAAAACAAACTACTAGTCTTAGGAGGACTATTGAAACCTAGGACTCTAATGAAATTATAGGAGTCCATTGTTTTTCACTAGAAAGCAAATGCAATCCTATACTTATTAGAATCATTTTAGCCTTGAAGGTGTGGCTTCTATTTTTCAGTTCTATTTTTGGGGGGGGGTAATTATGGAGAGTGGTGGGTGTCTGAATTTGCAAATTCAAGATGGTGACTGGCTGATATCCCGTATGAATGTCAAGAGCCCACAGCGACGGGACTAAATACCAGCTTCGTAATGCAAGTTGTGTCTCTTTAGGGTAGAGTGTGTTTCACGCTCTTTGTTAGGCAATCTCGTTCCCCGTCCAACTGCAAACATCAGTGAGTTTGCTAATATGAAAGAACTCTTTGTAAGTGGCTGTCTTGTGCTTAAGAGTTCTTGCAAGTATATGCTGGCAGTCAGGGAGGCCAGAGTCAATAAAAAAAATAATAAAATGGAAAGATGGGACATTGCTTTTATTAAGGTTGATTGCAGCTGCCATATTAGCTCTTTGAGAGCCTTTTGGTGACCAACGCTTTCAGAGAAAATGGTCTTTCTGTGCTTAATTGGTAAAAAGGAATTACCCAAACTGGCACTAAACAGGGGTGAGGAGACTGAAGGCACTCATTTTAGGGGGAGGGTTATCCAAGGTCATTGCTCAGCAAGTGTCCATCATGCAGTAGTTTTGTGTTAGGAATTTGTTTTTCACGAAGGCGTCATTTGGGGGGTGGGTGCATGGAGGGGAGCAAGCTGGAAGTCTTTAGCGGTCATTGACCTCTTTTTGTTTTCCTTGAGGAAAGTGGAATTGTAGGTTTCTAGGACTTGAAAACTGTAAACGGACTCTCTGGCCATCCATCCAGTTGAGCTCTTGATGTTCAGTGAAGGGGATGGACCTAGGAGGAGAGGTGCCTGGCCCCATGGTCCCCTACTCATTAGAGCTAAAGAGACAAGACGAGAGCCCAAAGGAGGGTGGCCTGAGGCATTCTCAAGCAGTGGCTGGGGTGGGATGGGGTAAAAAGAGAAGGCAGGATAATCAGAAAAGTAGTTAGGGAAGCCAAACAAATAGAGAGAGAAGTTGGCTGGAAATGGCTTACAACATAAATGTAGACTTGACCTGGTGACCTCGTTTAGCCAAGCAGGTACCGGGCGGCCACTCTGCACCAGACAGCCAACCCTTAAAGGAGGGGTGGGCAGGAGATGACAGGCAGAGACCCAAGAAAGACCTCAGTGACCACCTCACTTCCGTGTACCCTGAGATCGTGTCTGGGAACAGGCGGAGTCCTCCCTCTTTCTCTGAGGAAAGCGAGTGAGGTGATAGTTGGAAGAGGGGACATGCAGGAGACAACTCAGTCCTTCTAGCGAGGAGAGGCAGGGAATCTATTGCAGGTTGAGTAACAGCTGTAACCTAACCTCAGTAGTTTTATTAATGTCAATCTCAAACACCGTGTGCTACAGAGCCCCTCCCTGTCATCACTGGGCTGCCGTGTGACTCTGCCTTTCTTCTCTTTGCAGTATCAGAGCTTCAGGAGGAGGGCATGAATGCCATCAACCTGCCCCTCAGCCCGATCCCCTTCGAGCTGGACCCGGAGGACACCATGCTGGGTAACTGGGTCTCTTGTTCTCTGGGTTAGCCTAACACCTCCAAGTGGAGCCACCCACTGACTGCCTTTTCCTTTTAAAGAGGAGAATGAAGTGCGAACAATGGTGGACCCCAACTCCCGCAGCGACCCCAAACTGCAGGAACTGATGAAGGTAAGAAGAAATTAGAAGGGGCCTCAGCTGCCTCCCAGACTCAACAGGCACCTGTAGACCACCTGCTCTAGGCAGGCAGCACACATGCCCCAACAGAAGAAATAGAAAGTTACAGGCAGCTCATGGTCCCATAGGTAGACATCTCTGATTTAACAAAAATGGGGCATGGCCACTGCCCAACAGATGGTGTTGATTGTAAGTGCCAGAGAAGTTAGTGCAAAGGAGCTCACGTTTGCCAGGATCTTAAAGTTCACACAGTCTTTCCACTGCTTTCCTCAAAGACCCTCAACAACATCCTGTGAAATAGGACTTCTTATCATCCTCATTTACAGATAAGGAAGAGGAGTCTTAGAAAAGCCAGTAGTTTGTTTATGGTCAAAGCTGAGTAGAGGAGACGTAATTCAAACAGAAGTAAATAAGATTGAATGAGATATTGTACATTGTGCCTGGCACAGGGGCTGGCTTGTAACCACCCCCTGAAAAATGTTCATTTCATCCCCCTTTGCATTTCCCGTCCTGTGTTTTTCTTCTTTAGCTTCTCCAAGCTGAACTCAAAACAGGACAAAAAGGCACTGGATGCCAGAGTGGCTCATTCAAAATGTAAATGAGATCTATCATATTCCTGCTCAGAACCTCTGTATAGATTCCTGTCAACTGAAGTCTGAAGCCCATGCTCCTGGGGATGGTGTTTGGGGTCTCATGCTCTAGCTGCCTCTTCAGCTTCAGATTGTCCCCTTAGAGTCACCATGTGATGACTGCTTACCGCTACTCAGACACTTCTCTGTCTTCACTAAATGGTGAGCTTCTCAGGGTTCAAGACCCCCCCCTTTTATTCATCATTGTTCCCCCAGGATCCAGCACAGAAAGTGACTTGGAGCAGATGTTCATAAACGCTGGGTGGGTGGATGGGGGAGAGACGGGAGGGTGTTGGATGGAGGGAGTGGAGGGGAGACGAGGGAAGCTTCTATTCTAGAATAGTAGAATGATGTTCTGTGAAGACCCCGGGCTCCACCCACGTATGCAAACCCAGCCCAGCTACTACCCCTGTTATAAAGGCAATCTATTGATGCAAACACAAAAGGTGATATTCCCTGTGGTTCCATGTATTTCCAGATTGTGGTGGTTGCCTGAGGCCTGTCCTCAGGGGAGGGGACTGAGCACAAAGCCCAAAGGAACCTTCTTTCAGCGAGGGAGTTGCTTTTTATCTTGATTGTGGTGGTGGTTACACAACTGTGTACAATGACCAAAACTCAACAAACTGTATTTAACATTAGTTAATTTTACCGTACATAAATAATATCATCATAAACAAATGAGCTGAAAAAAAAATGTAAGATAAAAGGCAGTGGACTTTTGCAAACTGCAGTTTCCTTATCTGAAAAATGAAGTGAATGAACCCTCCCTCGAAGGGGTGTTGTGCAGATTAACTAAATGAGCTACCTCAGCTGTGCCCCTGCTCAGTGCTTCATGCTGAGGGCACTCAGGCAAGGGCAGGAGAGCGACAGGAGAGGAGAGGAGACTGCACTGGCCCACCGCGAGGTAGCTTGGGGATGAGGAGAGCAGTACCTTAGAGGGCCGATGGATAGGAGTTCAATTCCTGTCTGTGTCCATGGTTAGCAACGTGACCGTGGCAGATACATTCACTTCTGTGTTTGCTTTCTCTTCCTGAACATAGGAGGAGGGGTGATAGATGGGGATGATAGTAACCACCTGACCAGATGTCCTAATGGGGGAGAACTTTATTAATTAGACGTACCTTTATTGAACATTCGGTCCTTGACGTATGTGATTCTTTTCTGCTACCTAAAGCAGGAGAGATTTTCCTCCTTCATCTTAGAGGTGGGGAATCAGAGGCTCAGAGCAGAAACTAGTTTGCCCTAGATTCATAGGTCACAGAGGCACACACAGAGAGGTCTGTGGATGACAGAGGTGCACAGACACAGGTGCATACATCACAGAGCTACACAAATCAGTTGGTGAGTAACTAACCCCAGTTTGTATAACTCTAAAAGCCCATATCCTTGCCTGGTACGAGCCACACACCCAAACACTGTGTGAATGTAGCTTGCCATTGGGGTAAGGAATGGTAAGGGGCTAGAAGATATTAACAGGGACACAGGTGCCACCAGAACTAGAAGCACTTACCCCGGAAAATTAACAGGGCCACTAGGGCTCACCCAGCCTTGTGTCCACATACTGAGTCACAGGGATTGTTCTGCTGCTTTCAAAATCTGAAGTGCATTTAGATTTTAGTCTTCCAAGAAATCTGGCCTACGAATCTTCTCTTATTTTCTCTCTCTGTAGGTACTAATCGACTGGATTAATGACGTGCTTGTTGGAGAAAGAATCATTGTGAAAGACCTGGCTGAAGATTTATATGACGGGCAAGTCCTACAGAAGCTCTTTGGTGAGAAGGGGGTTGAATGTTGCGGGGGAGGTCTTTGCTCGGCAGGTGGATGGCTCTCAGGCTCCTAGTTGGGAGTGGTTCTCAGCTTACAGCCGTTCACGTGCCGTTCACACTATCAAAGTGTGGTGTGTGGGCCCACGGACTGGTGGGGCCTTTAGATGGCCTCCTGGAATCTGTTTCACATAAATGAATTGCCGAGAGAGTTCATTGGCCAGATGGGGCTGCTCCCCCTAGCAGTTGAAGGGCAGCAGCTGGGTAGATGAAAAGATTCCACTGTGTACTAGAAAACCTGCCTTACCCTCTCTAGAAAACCGTGCACTTGTGACCTCTGTAGGTGTATTTACACGTGTGTGTGGGGTAAGCGTATATACGTATACCTCTGTCACCTCTGGGTGGGTGTATGTGTGCATGTGCACGTGCGTGTATGCATACCTCTGTGAGCTGTGGACCTGTGTGTGTGTTCCTCTGTGTACCTCTAAGTCAGGTGCAAGAATGTGGGAGCCTGTGCCTCTGTGACGTTCAGCCTCTGCGTGCCTAGATGTGCTGTCTCTTGGGAAGGTGTGTTCCTGTGAAAATAGGCCCCCGGGGAGGAAAAGGAGGATTCAGGGGTGATCTAGTATTGAAATGACAAATTCAACCTGAAAGAATTTGGACTTTGCCTCAGCTGCTCCCCATTGTCTCTAGTCCAAACCTCTGCCCCAAGTTCTAGACTTCCATTCCTAGCTGCCCACTCAGCCCCTCCCCCTGTGTGCGCCTCACGCTGAGCTCATCCACTTTTCCAAAGAGGTTTCTTGCCCTCTGAGTTAACCGCCTTCCCCTCTTCCCCGCCACGCCCCGCGTATGTGTGGGGCCTCCAGGGCTCCTTTCTTCTTGCTCACATGGTCTCCTGCAGCCACTCTCCCTGCGGTTTTCACTGGTCTGAGCTGTCGAGACAGCCTCCGACCTCACCTGCATTCCGCCTCTCTCTGCCTCCAGCCCATTCCTGGGCCGCCAGCAGAGGAGGCCTTCTCAAAACGCAAGTCTAGTCTTGCTCTCCCCTGCCAGGGTTGGGGCGGGGGGGGGGGGGGGGTGCTGGGCCAGTCAGGCCCAGCAGCACTGCATTCACACAGACCCTCATGCGACCCCCCTCTGTCTTTTCAGCCTCACTGTTCATCTTTCAGTCTCTAAGGTCCATAGAACGCGCCTGCCTCTCGCACCTCTGACAACAGGATCACATCTAGACGTGATTGTCACGCGCCCTTCTGTGTTCCCCCGGATACACACACACATACATACATAAATGTACATAACACACATGCCTTTATTATACGACGTTCCAAGTTGTTTGTAGCTGTTTATGGAAATGTCTGTGGGCTTCCCAAGAGCAGGAACACCGTATCTTCCTCATCGATCCAGTCTCCTCCAGTTCTAGCAGTTTGCCTCCTGCATGTTGCCTGGCACTTCATCAATGTCTATTGAGTGAATGAATGATATAAGATCTAGTCATTTCTGGGAAGCTACACTGATTTGGTACTCAGACGTCAATATTAGTGAGTATTAATATTTAAAGACTTGTAAATGCAACCGAACGCAGAGAGGAGAAGGCTTTGGCACATGTTCCCATGGAAAAGCCATGAGCCTCGCTGGTCATCTCTTTTAGCGACTATAGCTTTTAACTCCTCCAGTGGATTTCTGGTCAGGATCTGAAAGTGTCTCGAGACGCTCTATATGCTGGGCTTTCAAGGCAAGGGTGGAATTTAGCCATGGAGTGATGGAACAAGGTCACGAGGTCATCTTGCCTCTGCGCATGGGGAGAGAACTGCCCCACATCACACCCGTGCAGCCCCGAGTCGGGACGGAGCACAGTCAACGTTAGGTTTATTTCAGATCTCAACCTTCGCGTTGAAAAGGTGATGTTCCTTCTTTCCACCTAAGTTTAGACCGTTTGTAGGTAGATGGGGACACACATGAAAAGGTACAGGCAGGGTGCCCAGGTGGAGAGAACCAGTTTGCAGGTAAAAATATGCATCGTGAGTGCCTGGGAGGTGTCTGTCGGGAGGCTGACTAGGATAGGCTCCAACCTTGACTTCCCCTCTATCTTCCTCTTTCCCAGCAACGTTCCTCAAAAGAATATTTGGCACTGTATCTGCTTCCTCACCACTAATCACTACCTTCTGAGGTACAGCCTGGGTATCATCATTCCATCTGCTTTCTCTTCTGAGGTCTCCAGTATCGATTCTGACATCTCCTGTGCTTGTGGCATCTGACGCTAACTACCAAATGTCTCATCCCCCTTCCCCAGCCCAGTGGTCTCTGGGATCTCATGCCGCTTCCGACACACCCTCTCTTCCCCGTCTTCTTCATACCCTTGACTTCTCTCTGTAACGGCGGGGACTTCTCAGTCTTCCATCTGTGGCCCCTCCCTTCCCTTTTTCTCTCCTATCCTCTTCCTGGGTGATTGCATCTCCTCCTGCGTTTCAACCATTACCTCTCTGATAATCACTCCCTGAAGCTGTGAGGTGATGTGCTAACTGCCTTCCACGCATGCCCACCTGGGTGTCACCTAGGAACCATGCTGCCTCAAACTGATCTGATCTTCCTCCTCCCCACCAAAGCTATTCTGCTTGCCAGAATAGAGCCAAATGCTCAGATTAGGAACCTAGGAGTCATGCCCTTTTGCTCCTTGTCCTGTCACAAATTGTGACAACTGTACTCCCCTATGTAATGTGTCGAACCACCCCATTTCTCAGCCAGGGGGTATGTGCAAAGCACTTAGAAAGTGCTGGCTCCCCACATGCTGGGTTGGTGGCGCTTACTCTGATTTTCCAGCCCCTCTGCTTCCACCTTAGCTTCTCGGCTCCAAACACCCTTTTCTCTGTGATACCCCGTTTCCTGCCTCGGTACTATTTGTCTTGACACTTAATAGGCCATTTGTCAGTGGGTTTTTTGTTTTTTTACTTTTCTTTTGAACTAATTTTAGACTTACAATATTGTCGCACAGAGAGTCCAGAGTTCCTGACCCCCTCGGGCCCAGCTCCCTCTAATGCTAACGTCTTACCTGACCATGGTACAGGTACCAAACCCTAAGAAATCAACCTCAGTCCCAGAATTTATTTGGATTTTACCAGATTTTTAAATGAATGTCTTTATCAGTTCTAGAATCTGATCTGGGATTGCACACTGTACTCGATTGTATCACGTCCCTTCCAAACTGTGACTGCCTTTTCTTTCATGACCTTGACACTTGTGAAAGAGGACTGATTAGTTATTGTGTAGAATAGCCCCTAACTTGGGTTTGTCTGATGTTTTCTGATTATTAGATTAAGGTCATAAATTTGGGGGAAGAATACCCCAGAAGTGACAGGCTTGTCTGGGTGTGTTGTACCCAGGGTCCACAATGTTAACCTGTCTTATTACTGGTGAGTTCACCTGGATCACTTGGGGAAGGCAGTGTCTGTCAGATCCCTTCACTGTGAAGTTGCTATTTTTCTCTTTACGATTCATTTGTTTAGGGGGCAAGATAATTTAAGATTATGCAAATATCTTGTTTCTCCTTACATGTTTCCCACTGATTTTATTCAGTGGATCATAGCTGCCTCAATTATTACTGCAGTGGTCGAGTGGAGATTTTCTATTTTCTTCATTCCTTCTACATTTATTAATTGGAATCCTTCTGTAAGGAAAAGTTGGTCCATTTACTTATTTATTCAGTATTTATATCAGTATGGACACAAGGATACTTACTTCACATTCTAGGTTATAATCTATCGGGTTTTTTTTTGTTTTTTTTTGCTCGTATACCTCCAGCTTTCACCATTTGACCATTGGGAGCTCTTTCAGGTTGGCTTCTGGACACTTTTGACCTGCTGCTCCATATTTTTTTGTTCTTAGCACTTACTTTCTGGCATCATAAGATGTTCCAGACTCCTCTTATGCTTTACTTACTCTGACCCTGGAATCAGTCGTTTCTCCGCGGAGCTTGGATTTTTTTTTTTTTATTAGAAAATGGTATTTTGCAATCAATATATGGGCACATTAGAGAGTGTTTGTAACCTGCTATCCGTAGCACACGTAAACGTAGGCACAGTACGATGACCTGGTGGTACTACCATGAATGAGACACGATCACTTCTAGAAATCCAGTTGGGCTGGGCCCAGAGAGCAGGAGCGGGCTGAGGTTGGGATTAGTAAACTAACTATGAAACACTGGTACTTAGAAGAAGATGGAAATGCCACAGGGACCTCAAGGAGTCCGGATGTGCCAGGTCACACCTCAGGAGCAGGAAATGCATCTGGAATCCAGGAAACGAGGTTGATGACCTCATGAGGCAAGGACTCAGAACCTGGAAGTGAACAAGATGTGGAGGCAAGAATCTCTCAGCAGGGTCATGGTGAAAGCCTGAATGGGTGAGCATCCCCAAGATGACAGATAGACTCTGCTGAGCAGCATGGCTGGGTGTTCTCTGATCACAAACCCTGTGAAGGCAGTGTCATACCTGGGTCTCCTTTGTGCAGCCAGATACTGCTTGTTCGGCAGCACTGGGGCTGCTCAACTTGCCTTTCTCAGGGACCCCAGGCATATCTGGAAGGTTCTTCTGACATACCTTCCCCCAGTCCTTCTTTCTGAGCTGCCTAACCCAGCTGCCTCTGTTCCCAGGGTCTTCTCTCTTGCCCTGGCTGCAGTTCTGAGTTCAGGTTTTCCCAAAAGCAGATGCCGGGACAAGGACTTGGGTGGAGGAAGTTCATATGAGAGGTGATCTTAGAAAGTAAATAGTTATGTGGGGAATGTAAGAGAGCAAGAGAAAGGCCAGTGATGTTGAGTTTGCAAGCAGGGTTCAGTCCTGCAGGGTTCCCTCTGAGAAACACCTTAAGTCATCCTCCCCAGGACAGGGAGGGTCCTCCCATCCCCCTGTGGTTGAGGATTGCCTACGTAAGAATTAAGAGCTTCTAGGTTGTACTTCTGATGGAGAAGCTCTTGTGCAGAGAAGAAGAGCTTCAGGGCCAGAATTGGAACCCATGGT